CCATGAAATCAATATTGTTAAGATAGCAATTCTTTCTACCTTGAGCTACAGATTCAGTGGGATCCCAAGTTCCCACCCAAGATATTGACCGACCAGCTGACATGAGACTCAGAACCTCATCTGTGGACCCAAAGAGTCAGCACAGGCCACCGGAGTCGCTCAGTCGGTAAGCCTCTGCCTTCGGCTCGGGAGGTGACCCCAGGGTCCTGGGATCGAGCCCCGCATCAGGCTCCCTACTCAGCGAGGAGCCTGCTTCCTCCTCAGCCCCTCCCCGCCCCCGCTCATGCTCGCTCCCTGGCTCTCTCGCACAAAATTAAATAAATAAAATCTTTTAAAAAAGAACAAAGACAACATGAAGGCGCGGTAATGACGAGAATGTGGTGGCACTGAAGGGACCGAGAAAAGGAGCAGCAGACGGCACAGACAGAACCAGAGACGTGCCCACAGTCACTTCACGTGTCACAGGGACAAGGCATGTCCACGACGAAAGGGAAGTCTGCCCCACAGATGGTGACAGAACAATGAGAAAACACACGGGGCGGGGGGAGGGGATGTGAACGCAGACTTGACAACTTACACAGAAATGTACTCAAAATGGCCCGCACACACGAATTTTTGAGTGCAGAGCTGTGAGAATTCTAGATCAACACAACCCTGGGAGGTGCGCTTGGGCAGCTCAGTCTTTTAAGCGTCTGACTCTTGATCTTAGGGTCATGAGTTCAAGCCCCTCACTGGGCTCCATGCTGGGCGCGGAGCCCACCTCAAAATAAAAGAAAAAATAACATAAGATAAAGAAATAACACATACATGACCTTGGGCATGGTGATGAGTATTTTTTTAATAAGATTTTATTTATTTATTTGACAGAGATCACAAGTAGGCAGAGAGAGAGGAGGAAGCAGGCTCCCCACCGAGCAGAGAGCCCGACGCAGGGCTCCATTCCAGGACCCTGAGATCATGACCTGTGCCGAAGGCAGAGGCTTAACCCATGAGCCACCCAGGCGCCCCAGTGATGAGTTTTAAAACACCAAAGCCAGTCCCTGAAAGAAAACAATTGCTGATGTTCTCTCTGGCACAATGTAGTCTACTCATGAAAGATACACTTAGGAGAACCCGAAGAAAAGCCACAGATGGGGAGAAAACATTCGGAAAACACATCGGAAAAAAGACTCCTGTGCAAAAAGTCCAAGCAAACTCCGAAAGCGAAAAAGAGAGCCGACAACCCAATTAAGGATGAGTAAAGATCCAAACACAGCCCTCGGTGAACCAGAGGTACCGATGACAGACGAGCACAGAGAATAAAGCTGCACACCACGTGTCACGAGGGAAAAGCAAATGAAAACAGTGAGCTGGGCCGCGCATCTGCTGAAGCGCCACGGTCTCCAGAGAAACGGCGGCGGCAGCGGGACTGGCGTTCACCGCTGCTGCAGCACAAAATGCCCCCACCATGGTGAAGGCCCTTGAGCTACTCACTCCAGACCACATGCGATCTCACCGTGTAAGCCAACAAGCACACTCCTGGGTATTTAGACAACGGCTCTGAAAACATACCCAAGCCAAGCCCAGCCTGCTCTCCGCACAGCTCCTCTCTCCCCAACGGCCAGATACTTCCCAGCAGACCGGGGTACCCTTCAGCAGGTGAGTGGATAACCAAGCGAGATGTGTCCGTGCGTGCGACGGGACGCGACTTACCCACGGGGAGCAATGATCCACCGAGCCCCGCCAAGACACGGGTGAGTCGTGTGTGCACGTCACCGAGTGACGGGAGACGATCTGACTGACCGTACCATACCACGTGCGTGACAGCTGGGAAGGAAACATCACAGAGACGGCGAACAGCAGTGACTGAGAGTCGCTGGCGGGGTCTGACCGGGAGAATGAGGCGCTGAAAGGAGGTGCCAACGGGCCGGAGCGACCACTGGCGTCCACCGGGGGAGCCCCGCTAGGTGCTGGAAGCAGCGGTGTCCCTGGGAGAAGTCCTTCCAGCTCTAGGGGACAAGGGTCTCCTCCATCGCGTGTGTCACTATTTCAGGAGCAGTTCGTAGGGAGACTTTTTTTTTTGAGGGTGTGATAACATATACATGACATTAACTTTTCCTTTCATTAGTTTTTATTTTTAAAACTCTGGTAAAATACACACAACATAAAATTTACCATCTTCACCGTTTTCAAGTGAGCGTTCACACTGCCGTGTAACCATCACTGCTGTCATCTCTCGTCTCAGTGCACAGAGTTCCAGTTTCTTCACGTCCTTGTCAAAAGCCGCTTCCGGTTTTCTTAGATAACAGCCGCTTTCGTGGGTGTGAACTGGCGCTTCACCGTGGTTTTCATGTTCATTGCCCTGATGTCTAAGGACGGGAAGCATCTTTTCATGTGTTTGTTGGGGCTGGATTCGGCAGTGACCCACGTGTAAGACACCAAATAACATGCAGGATTTAACAAAATGTTTGGGGATGGAATATCTACTATGACTTCAGTATCCAGAATATACAAAGAGCTTTGACAACTCAACAACACCAGGACAAGCAAACCAACTAGGAAATAGACAAAGGACTTGAACAGCTTGTCTCTGAAGAGGAGGCACAGTAGCCCATGAAAGATGTTCACCATCACCAACCACTGGGGAGACGCAAGTCAAAATCCCACTGAGGTACCCCTTTATACCGGTCAGAATAGCGATCTGAGGAGCCCTGGCTGGCTCACTCGGAAGAGCACGTGACTCTTCTTTTTTTTTTTTTAAGAACGTATTGACTTATTCTTAGAGGAAAAGAGAGACCAGCAGGTGGGGCAGAGGGAGAGAGAATTCCACGCAGACCACAACGAGTGCGGAGTCTGACGCCGGGCTCCACCGCGCGACCCCCAGATCATGACCTGAGCCAAAACCAAGAGTCAGACCCTCAACGGACTGGGCCACCCAGGTGCCCTGGGCACGGGACTCTTGACCTCAGGGTTGTGAGTTCGAGCCCCACATTGGGTGTAGAGATTCCTTAAATAAGGAAACTGACGAAACAAACCAAATTTAGGAAAGGACACTAACAGTAGTCGGTGAGGATGTGGAGAAGGGGGATGCGAGTACGTTACTGATGGAAGGTGCTGACGTCTCTGTGGAGAACAGTTTGGCAGTTGCTCAAAAATTCTAAACACTGAGTCACCATACGACCTAGCAATTCCACTAGTAGGAGCGTACCCAAAACACAGAAAACAGGTGTAAAACAAAAATGCTGACGTCAGCGTTCACAGCAGCGCCGCTCACAGCAGGGAAACGTGGAAACAGCCCACATGTCTTCCAGAGGGGTGAAGAGTGAACGTGGTCCGTCCACGCAAGGGAGGCACAGCCGGCCCTGGTAAGGCAGCCGCCCGCACTGCACACGGGTGAGCCTGGGGAACACCGCGCAGTGGGGGAGGCCGAGCCGGAGGCCGCTGACACAGCGTGCCCGGGAGAGACGGGAGGAGGGGAGCTGCGGAGGACGGGCACGTGGAGGGCCCAGTGGGGGGTGACGGCTGCTCACTGGGAAGGGGCTTTCTTCGGGGGTGAGGACAGTCGGACAATATCATGCATAAATATCACAGCATTACGCCCTTTAAAAGTTGGGGTTAAGCTACGAGGATTTCACCACACTGAAAAACACAGAGGGGGCTGGCTCAGCCAGCGGCGCAGGGCACTCTTGATCTGGGGGTTGTGGGTTTAAGCCCCACATTGGGTGTAGAGATTACTTAAAAATTTAAAAATCTTTAAAAACAAAAACAAAAACAGAGAGAGAGACTGCTGGACGTCCCCCCTCGCCAGGGAGGTCCGCTTGCCTCACTGCTCTCAGTCTGGCCTCCCAGACCCACCACAATCCAGCCAGCCACATTTTGGGACCCTTTCACTCCAGCCCTGCCCTGCCTCCAACTCCTGGAAGCACGCACCCACTTCGGGATCCATTCCCAGGCCCCTGCACTCCAACTCCCTCAGGGCCCAGGGCTCAACCACTTCCTCATCTGCGGTCTTCAAACGGGGGGACCCCGGCACGCGGCTTCCCCGGGCCGTCTCCTCGCAGCGGGGGAAGCGAGCGTTTCCTGGGCACGCAGGTGTGCAGCAACCAGCAGGGGAACTCACAGCAGCACAACAAGGAAGGACGGGGAGCCCCACGGCTGGAGGGGCCAGCACGGCTCATCCACCGTCCCACAGCCTCCGAGGGGTGCTCTGGCTCCGGGCACCGTGAAGAGAAAATGTGGGACCCACAGGAGCAATGTCTCTGGCCACACGGAAGAGGCATCCCAGCCGTGGGGGGTCACTTGTCACACGCAGGCGGTCTAGGTTCCCCAGGAAGCCACAGGAGGCACGCTGCTCACAGAGGCTGCTCTAAGCCCCTGGCCCAGGGCCCACCAGGGGTGGGTTCCAGGACATGAATTCACGCTGGTTTTTTCATCCATGGTTAGAACTGAAGATGCTGCGCGTCACGTCTGTCCACACCCCTCCCGCTCTCTACGGCTACAAATACATTCTGGGCCCTGCCTCACCCCTGCTGACCATGCTCTGGCTCTGCTGAGCCTCCCCACAAAACCCCAGGGGCTCCACAGGCACGGAGGAGGGGGATGCCTGTCTGAGGCAGAGGGGCCTGTCACCTTGGGGACCCGGGGGCCACAAGCGCTTGTCTCTGTGCAGAGCCCAGGGGTCACCAGAGCCCCACGGAGAGGGACCGGCTCGTCTGCTCCTCCCTTTCAAACATCAGCAGCCCCCACCCCAGAAAGCCCCAGCGTAGACAGACCCTACCCCCTGCCCACCTTGGGGCCCCTCTCCCCGTGGGTAGCTGGTTCCTGGAGTCACAGCAGGAGACAGAGCTCGGGAAGGCACCACCTCAGCCGTGCCTGCCGGGAGCAAGCCGGCCCTCTAAGGGGGTCGGGGCCAACACTGCCCTTCTCTGGGGGGCCGGGACGGAGCCCAAGAGCAGGGAGGGAGGTGGTGGGCAGGGGAGGGAGGCTGGGGGTTGGGGTCACCGACCGGCCTGCCCCCATCTGGACAGGACGTCTGCGCAGGGCTCCATTCTCAGAAAGACTTTCCTCCGTTTTCCACAAAACGGACTTTGTGCAGTCAGCCGAGTCAGCGTTCTAGATGAAACCGGGTGACTATGAAGGGCGGGGGCGAAGCAAAGGCCCTGGGGTCCTCACACGACCCGTGCAGCGGGGTCTTGCCGCTCGCCGTGACTGGCTCCCACAGCACTACTTCCTGGCCGGGCGTCCAGGCTCTGCTGGTTACAGGAAGGGCCCCGGGCCAAAGCCGGGCTGGGCCCTGCACTCGGTGAGTTTCCTGGGAAGGTGGGGGATTGGCAACCCCCGGAGCAGCCCAGGGTCCAGTAGTCGCCGCTGCCGCCATTTGACGGTGGGGGGGCTGGCCTGAGGGGACATGTGGGGGCCCAGTCCTCCTGCGGCAGGTAGGCGGGCGGCTGGCCTCCCTGGACCACAGGCCCGGCCAGCAGCGCAGCCTCCAGGAGGCCGGCCCCAGGGCCCTCCTGCTCCTCCTCCAGGACCACGGACTGCCAGGGGTCCACCGGGTCATAGGTCAGCCACGCGATGTCCTCATGGACGCCAGACTCCGAGGCTCCTCGTGGGGAACGGCCACTGTCCCCGCTCGGCAGGACGCCGGTTCTGTGGGCCCCTGTCCAGGTCTAGGACAGACAGCATGGCGGGAGGGGGTGAGAAGGGCTCAGGCAGCGGGCTCGGGACTCGCCCCGGAAGCAGCCTCCCCCTCCTCCCAGAAGTTCTCCCGGCGTCCTCACCCCGAGTCCAAGCGACGACTGTGTTTCGAGCGCTCCACCTTACCCGCCACGCGCCAGCCTGCCCGCGGCCCAGGAGCCGTCAGGACGCTCCGCGACCCCCCACCTCCCGGCTCACAGCAGCCTGGAACAGGGTACAGGCGGCGACGGGTGCCGGGGAAGGACAAGACCCCTGGTTCTGCTCCAGGCATCAGCTACAGAGGTTGGGCAGCCCCTGCTGGGCCCCGGCTCACTCACACACTCACACTCACTCACATGTGCACACTCACTGCACACTCTCACTCACACACGTACTCGCACACTCACTCACACTCTCACACACTCACACACACACACCAGGAGATGCCGCGGGGACAACACTTTTGGGCTGACGGCAGCAGACCTGGAACCCCTGTGCGGTCGCGGGAGGCCCCCACCTCCCAAAGGAAAGTATTTCCTCCTCGGTGGGACCAGGAACCGCACCAGGCGGACCACACACACGTGACCTTATGTGTCTGCCGATGCCGGGAGCCGAGTCACGGCAACACAGCCCCCGAGGGGTCTAATCACCGGGCGGTGACTCGGGTCTAGAGGAGGGCCGGGTGCGTGTGGCCGAGATGACGCGTTCCAGGACGGTCACCTCAGGGCTTTCGACTGTGACGGCCGCTGCCTGGGAGAAGGAGGCGGCCTCCACCGAGGGTAAAAGGCTCAGCTTTAAGCTCTGAGGTACACTTCTGGACAACAACCTCAAACCCTGGGCTCCCTTGTCAAATGTTCTTCCCGGCTCCCTTCTGAGAGACAGAAGTGGGAGGCGGAGGGAAGCCCAGCAGCAGCAGGGGCCGCGGGAAAGGACCCCAGGAAGCATCCCATCCCGTCCTCCGCCCGCAGTGGGGATCCGGAGACCACCCGAGGGAGCCACCAGGCCAGCGGGAAGGGGAAGCATCAGGTGTAAAGACCCTCCAGGTGGGGCTCACCAGGGCCCACAAAGGGGGAAAGAGGGAGTGCGGCGGTGCTACCCACGGGAACCCGGAGGGGCCAGGCCCTCCTCGGTGACCAGCACAGCCGTAGCCCCCGGACCCCTGAGGACCCCAAGGCTGGCGCGAGCAGCAGACCCTCCCCACAGACACCTTCGGAGAAGCCAGGAGGAGACGCGGCGGCCATAGCCTCCCCGTGACGTGACCACGTACATCACAGGGGCCGCTTCCCCAAAAGAAAAAGAAACCCGTGAGAGAGAATAAGGCTAATTGTCTGGATGCATCTGAGATGGCGTGTGTAAATTTAAATCCACTACATCTAACAAAAACAGCTCACAGCACCCACAAAGGCCCCATACCGGCCCCAACTCTCACCGGAAGCCCACATCCTTGGCAGGCCAGACGTGGGGGAGACCCCAGCTCCCCCCCCCAACCGCAGGCTGCGCGCACCTGGAAGTCCCCGTGGTGCACACTGTAGAGGGACTGGAAGAAGGCCGCCGGAGAGGGCACGTTCCAGGAGAGGCTCCTTTTCACCCTGAGGCCAGAACAGGACAGCTGGAGGCCTCTGCATGCCCAGCGAGGGGTCCTCGGAGGCCCGACTCCAGCAAGCACAGGACCCCATGGGAGCCTCGCACCCTTCCCGCCAGAGGCCGCCCCACCTCCTGCCTCTCATTGGGTCCAAGCCTGTTCTCGGGGCAAAACCCGACACCACCCCTATGGCCTGCCAGACCCATGACCCTGTAGAACTGACACCCACCGAGACACTCGTCCTTTACAGGGTGAGTCGTGACGCTGGGCTCAGGGCTACAGGGTGGCCCTTGGGTCCTCATCCCACAGAGGGAGCAGACAGGAGGCAGCTCCCTGCCCCACCTGACTCCTCCCTGAGCAATACAGAGCCACGGGCCGTCCCACAAGGATATGGCCCACAACTCCAACACAGCAGGTCCAAACCGGCCTCACCAGCTTCCCCGGGGAGGACATGGCCCCCCCAAGTCCCCACCTTGGGGATCACTGGTCCTCTGCCCCCTCCGTTTCCCTTCTTAGGCCTGCAATTGCCTTCCCTCAGCTCCCTCCGTCTCTCCCGCTGGCTCCAGCACACGGTCGTCCTCCTTATGCCACCCCGGCCTCCTGGTGGGTCCTCCCCATCCCCTCGGACCCCCCAAAATCTATCCTCACAATACAAACACTGTTTCACGTGCTTGAAGACCTCTCCTCTGCTCCAGGTCAAGTCTGGTGTCCACACCGCCCAGCACCCCCACCCGCCCCGTTCTCATCCTTTCTGCGGTGAGTCCGCAGCTGGTCAGTCTCCTCCGGGCCCCTCCCTCACCCTGACACGGGTGATGGTTTACTTCAGACAGGCCCTACATCTGTTGGGTTCTCTGTGGTGTGCACTGGAGTCCTGAGCACACCAGGGCCCCAAAACGATCTTTTCAGAGAAGGCGTTTAAAAGTCAGCAGACCACAGAGCACCCCCAGAGGCTCTTGGGTGACGCGGTCCCAGTGAACTTGGGTCCCCCTGAGCGTCTTTGGGGCCCTACAACCCCCAACACACTTGACAAGTGGGGAAATCTCCAGAGGCCCAGGGCAGAGGCTTAGCCCGTCCAGGATCAGATGGTCCAGGGCAGATGGTGGGAGGGAGGGCAGCTCTGGCCCAAGACGCCCCCCACACAGCCACACACACGCACGCACGCACGCACACCTTGCCTACTGACCTGGGTGAAAGCTTGAACACGAGGTAGGTCAGGCTGGTCAGCAGCAGAAAGACGGGCACAGCAACGAGGGTGCTGCTGCTGGGCTGCCCCCAAGAGGAGGACAGGGGGCCTGTGGGCAGGAAGGGCCCAGGGCTGTGAGCCTCCTTGGCACCAGGGTGTTCCTCCAAACCCACGTGGCAAAGCACCGGTAGGAGTGCCTGGGGCCACCGTGGGAATTTCCTCCCGGGCCCAGGGGCTGTGTCATGGCTGCTCCCGAATCAGCCACGGCAGGGCCCCACCTCCTCCATCTGCAAGGTCATCAGGGTCAGGCACCCTCCCCAGCAGGTCACAAGGGTCAGCCCAGCCAGACCACGTCCCGCTCCGGAGACGGAAGCAGAGGTCCGGCGTGCCTCCCGGGGCCACAGTCTCTCCCCGTGACACAGTAACTACAGGTTCCAAGAAGCCTGATGCTGGGCAGCTGTGTTTTCCCTCCTTCAAAATCCCAGACCTCCAGGGGAAGGTGGCCAGCCGGGGCAGGACCGCCTCCGGGCGGGGCTCTAGGAAGGTGAGAGGCCTGGACGGGTATAAGGCCCTCCGGGAGGGAGAGCCGCACCTCGGGCAGGGCTCTGGGGTGAGGGGAAGCGCGCAGACCGACTCCACTCGCTCCACTGGCCCTCGTAGCGCAGCTCCTCCTCCACGTCCATCTCCGGGGTGGCCATGCGGACCCGCAGCCGGGCCTCATAGCGGGACCCGGGGTCCAGCTCCACAGCATCCAGCGAGAGCCGGGTCACCCCGACGATGCGGTCCCTGAGCCGGGCCTGCTGCGGGGCAGAGGACCGTCAGCAGGCGTCAAGGGGGGACAGGGCCCGTGGCCCAAGACCACGCCCGCACACGGCCACACGGCCACGCCCGCACACGCGGGCACTTACACTCAGCCAACCCCACGCACACACGCGGCTGCGTACCCTGCGCACGCTCACACACACACGTGTGCACAGCCACGCTCCGGGCTCTGAGCACGCCCCCTCCCCCTCGTCCACTCGGACATCTTCCTGTGGGGGAGGGGCGGCCCCCACTGCGGCTCCCAGGAGAGAGAAGGCTCCGGCCCAGCGCTACCTCCCAGGCTTCTTCCTGCTTCTTGAAGGCCAGCTCGTAGCTGAGGATGGCGGTCAGGGGCTCCAGAGCAGGGCTGACCCTCCAAGTCAGGACACAATAGTGAGAGGTGACGTTGCTCTGTAAGTCAGAGGGAGGGTCCAACTTCACTGAAACAGAGTAGGGCTGCGTGAGGGTGTGTCTGCCGGCATGCCCAGGGCCGACGGTCTGACACAGGCTGGGGGTCAGGGGGCGGGGGCATGGTCACGGCCCTCCCAGACCAGGGGGCCTCCCTGGGAGGCAGGTCTCTGTCTCTTCACTGGTGACGTCTCCCAGGGAGGCCCTAGGCGGGACAAGATGACGGTGAGCAACTCCAGGCCCTGCAGCCAGACAACGTTGAGTCCCGGGTCTGGCCGGCCGCTTCCGTCCTACGTGTCTTACTGCGTCCCTTCCTGCTGAGGCTCAGGTGCATTTCAGGTGACTCGAGTTGTGCCCTGGCCCCAGCCTGAAGCCCGGTGTCTTCACCCTCCCCCAAACCCTACGTCTCCAGGGACCCGGGGGCCCTCCCCTCCCGTCTCTGAGCCCCGGGTGTTCCACGGGGCCACGGAGGTTAGGGGCCATGCGACCCTGCCCCCAGGCCGGCCAAAGCCAGGACACTCCCCGTCAAGGCGCCCAGACCCGGCCTCACCATGTCTCCGAGGCAGGTACTGCGGGTCCACCAGGCTGACCTGCTCCTGCCCAGAGACGCCGCGGTGCAGCGTGATGGTGAAGTTGTCGGAAGGCACGAGCACCTCCTCGGGGGGCAGCACCAGGGTGCACTCCCCGGCCCGGAAGACACATCTGTGCCGGCCACCCGGTGCGTGGTTGCTGGAAAGGGTGTGTGTTGGCACCAAGGGCCGCCGCGCCAGCCCGGCCCTCGTGCTGCGACCGTGGGGACCCCGCCCTCAGGGCCCTGAGGCCTCACCTGGTGAAGAGCAGCCAGGCATGGGGGCCCCAGCCCGGCTCCGGGGCCGACCAGCGGCAGTGGATCCTCAGGATGTTGTTGTTCAGACAGGTGACAGACCCGGCCCCGAGCCCTGGGGACAGGCACGGTTTGCAGCCCACAGCGTGCTTCAGGGCAGGGTCAGGACCTGCAGTGGACACTCTGACAGGGCCGACCCCAAGAGTGGTCCCAGGAGGAGGCATCAAGGGCAGGGCTGGGAGGTGAAGGGCTCTGACCCACGGGGCGTGGGTGGGACCTCCAGGCTGGTCCCAGGAGGTCACGCCCCAGCACGTCCAGCCAAACCCTTCCCTGTGGAGTGAGACGGACAACTGCCCTGCCCCCAAGCTCTCTGCCAAACCCCAGAGAGACACGAGTGCCCCGTGCTCACCTCCTTCCCCTTGGACGGAGACGGCCGCGCCGACCCAGGCGCCCATGCAGGCGCAAATCAGCAGCCAGGCGCTCAGCTCTCGCGTCAGGGCCTTCCGTCCTGCAAGGGACTGGGCTGAGAGCACCCCCGTGGGACTGTCCCCAGGAGGTCTCCCCAGGAGGGCCGCTCCCTGTGGGGCATGCTCCCTGTGGAGAGCTCCAAGTGAGTCACCGCCTGTCCCCTCACCACGTCCCACCACTGGGCACCAGAGGCTAAGCTGTTCTCCTAAGAAACGGAAGCTCAGGAAGATCCGAATGGCTGCGGTGCACAGCACGGTGCCCGCAGACCCAGGTCTCCCGCTGGGCTCCGGACTCCCAACCAGCGAGTGTCTGAGTCTGCCTAGAAGCCTCCTCTCTGGAACGGACGTCCTCAGCCAGCACGGTCCCAGGTCCCGTCACGCAAGGGAGATCGGGTCACGGCAACCTTGTGCCAACCGTGCAGCACACATCACATGCTTGCGTTCCCACGGCAGCCCCGTGAGGTAGAGAGATCGTCCCGGCCTACTGACAAGCCAGCCGAGTCCCAAGGAGGGGCAATGCCTTGCCCAGGGTCATGCAGCGGACATCCACACACCCTCTCTCCCCGCTGCATCCTTAAATAAAGACCCGCTGGGGACTCGTAGGAGGATGGCAGTGAGTGAGGTGTCTGTGCAACAGAGGGCCCTCCCTGAGCCGGGACGGCCGCACCCCTGTCTGGAGCTACCCGCCCTGGGAAGGGGAGCAGGGCCCCGGGGGGACCAGACGTTCACGGGAGACAAAGGCGCTGGGTGTTAGGAAGTGCCTGGGTGTGGGGAGGCCGTTGACATCCGATCACCCCATTCGCAGCTCCAGATGGTGCACTGATAGTTCCGAAGCAGGAAGCAGGGTGAGCCTGGTTATGCAAGCCTGATGGGTGATAAGGGGGCCAAAAAGCAGCACCGTGCTCACAGACCACAGCACGCAAGCCCCTGGGGAGCCCGCACGCACCCAGGCAGCACACACCCCTCCAACACACCAGCAGCCTCTTCGTGTACCCACAGGACAGACCCCAATAAGATCCCTGCTCAGGAAGACTACACGCCATCCCCCGGCACCCCCAGCCACAGCACGGGAGGCAAGTTCTGCCCAACACCTCGCGTCCCCTCCAGTGCGTGACGGGCTGGAGATGAGGGAGCAGCCTGAGCAGAGCCCACGGCAGGGTGTGGGATGACAGAATCATAGTGAGCCCCAAGGTCTGGGGACCTGAGGGACGGCAGCTACTTCCCAGCCGGGAGCTGAGCCAGGCCCTGGTGGAAGGACTCCTCCGTGCACGCAGAACTGGGCCACTCCTGCCCCAGACCGACCTAGGAGCGGATGGTTCCAGAGCACGGTGTCGGGTGGCTCCAAGCTCAGCTGGCCCCAGGGCAGGGACAAGACCGAGCTACCAGGGCCAGGACCCCCTCTAGGGGAGCAACAGAGACGGACACGGGGCCGTTTCTCCTCGAACTCTCCACACAGGATGTGTCTGGGTCTACGACGTGAGCTGGATGGGGCTGCCCCTCCCCGAGCTGTGGTCGTCAAGGACGGGGTCAGCAGCAACGTGCCCAACACCGGCACCTGGTACCTCTGTTCCCAGCACAGGTCCGACCTGTAGTCACACCAGCCTGGGAGCACCCACCTCGCCCTGGGCACCGCTGGCCTGTCCCTCCTCTGGCCACCCGCATCCTCGACAACAGGCACTAGGCCAGGCGGTGCGGAAACCCCCATCCACACACTCCCTGGTCGGGAAACAGGCACTGGGAGGACAGCAGGGGGACCTCATCACCACTCAGACAACGCGACACCACCTCGCAGGACGGCTGGCAGGGCTGGGGGTGAGCCAGGGTCTCCCCCTCGGGACAATCCTGCTGGGGAGTACGACTGACGCCACCACCCAGCACTACCGCCCCAGGTCTGTGGACACGCCTTCAGCCCCGGAGCACTCTGGTCCCTTCTCAGAACCCATCTCCTCCATGACCTCGGGGTCAAGATCTGGCCATGAGGTCCGACCACTAGGGCCTCACAGCTTTCCTGGCCCACCATGAAGCCATGGGCTGCCTTGCAGCTGGGCCCTGCACCAGAACCCACAGACAGGGCCAGACCTGGGGCAGGTCTCTGGAGAGACACAGCCCCTCCCCGCCGTGGGCCTCAGCCCCCAAGGACCCACTGAGGCCAGGGAGGCCCCGCCAGAGCAAGGTGCCTTTGTAGCACACCCTCCAAGCGAGCTTCACGCCAACTCCTGCGTCCACTTACTATCCCCTCCGACACAGACGCTGTGTTTTTAACAGATGGAGAGCAGTCCAGCTCCCTCCAGAAGAAGGAGGCTTCAATTTCAATGGACACTTACCGAGCATTTTCTTCTCTCTGCTGGGGAAGGCGGAGAAACTCAGCCCCTGGCTCCCAAGAACCAGATACAGGAGGACATGGGGACTGTGATAAACAGTGAGCTGGAGATGGAGGCAGGAGTCCCCCCAGCGCCTCTAGGCCACACGAGCGCACAGGGGCCGGTCTAGCACAGGTGGAAACTGCCAGTGCCGTTGGCGGAAAGGGCCTGAACACCGAGCTTCCTACAGGGATGCTGACGGCGGGCCGCAGGCCGGAGGCGCAGAGGCAGGAAGGCCAGCCAGGGTGGGCGCGGACGAGGTGCAGGGAAGGCTGGGGAGAGGGAGAGCCGGCCCAAGCAGCTTCCCCATGCTGTCTGAGAGGGGTGGGCAGGAGGGGGCTGCATCTGGAAAGGGCACGTCTGGGAGCCCTGGAAACACCAGTCTGCAGCCGTGGAGACCCACAAGCTGGCCCCAGACGTGCCTCGGGGGGACAAAGACACATCCTTCATGAAGCCCTGCTGAGCCCCTCAGTGTCTCTCTGGCCACACCAGACACCCCCAAGCCAGGCCAGTCAGCTCGGGAAAGGAGCAGGGGAGCAGGTAGGGCTGTGGGAAAGGTCTAGAATAAGGATGCTGACACGGCTGCAGGGGCCTGGGGACAAAAGGGGGTTCAATGTTGGACCTGTTCTTCCCGCACCTGTTAATGGCCCTCCTCTGCCCAGAACCCCCCCACAGCCCCCAGTGGCGAGGTCAGCCAAGCCCACGGCTCTGCTGCCTCCTCACAGCAGGCTCTTCTAGGGCGAGACCTGTGTGACTGGCGTGAGGTCCCCTGCGCCTGGCCCCGACAGGAAGAGAAACGCATCCTGAACCCCCTGCAGAGGCTGACCTTGTCTCTAGACGGTGGGAGTGCCTGGGCCCCTGGGAAGAGGGCACTGGGACAGGACCGGAGCAGGAACCCTCACCTCCCCTTCCTCCGCCTGGCCGAGCTGACCTTCCTTCTAGGACCACACTCTGACCTGCTGCCTGCTCACAGCTCCAACGGGGGGATCCCCAGACTCTGGCTCCTCTTATGCCCAAAGGCCCCCCACTGTCGTGGGGGCTTGAAGGGGTTTTGCCGGCCCCAGGACCTGGACCTCATCTCCAGTCCGGGCCACCACAGCTCAGACCATCTGGCCCCAGAACAGCTGCCTTGACGGCCAGACTCACCTTCCCAGATGCACCCGCCGGGTCCCATGGCAAGTCGGAGGGGCCCCCAACCCTCCAGACCTGGAGGTGACCGTTCCTGTGCTTGCAGCAAAGCCTCTCAGCCTGATTCAGGATACGAGTGCAGTGAGCAGTGACGTGAGCCTCCCACGGCGGGCTCACACAGGCCGCCCACATCTGAAACCACGACGCAGAGCAGAGCGGCTGTCCCAAGTGGGGCTGAGAGACAACCACCACCGCTAACCCCAAGCCCAGGGACCGGGACATGGGGTGACCCTTCATTCCCCGTGACACGGAAGGTAGCTAAACACGGGCTGTGGGGACCCGTCCAGCGAGGGGCAATGTCCACTGGAACCCTTCCAAGAAACACCCCTGGAGAGGCTGTTAAACAGGAAAGTGATGCACTCCCACGTCAAGGAGAGCAAACGAGACAGAAGAAAATGAAAAATGAGTCCCCGCTCTCTCACCCCAGAGGACGCCTCTGTGAGAAGTTAGGCACAAGTCCTTCCACACGCGGGGGAAGCCCAAACAGGTGTACGTCTTTCCTGGCCTCAGGCTGCGCCGAGCTGGGCGCACTCCTGGCTCCTGTATTTTCGACCCTCTTCTAGGTTGGCACAGGAAAGCCCAGTTCGTGCCTTTAACGGTAGCACATGCCACGGTTCAATAATCCCGCCGGGAGACATCGGGATTGCTGCCGTGTGTGCTATCTTTATTTTCTGAGGAAGGATGTGCAACATTACGTTAATTTCCATAGTCGCAATTTTAAACAAAGGTAGTGAGCGATTCTGGGCAGGGACCCTTAATCCCCAGAGTGAGCACCTCTGTGCAACTGATTCTACCGGTGGAAATGCAGGGTCTGAAGCTCAGCATTTTAACGGGGCGCCCGGGTGGCTCAGTGGTGAAGTGTCTGCCTTCAGCTCAGGTCGTGATCTCAGGGTCCGGGGATCGAGCCCCGCTTCGGGCTCCCTGCTCAGCGGGGAACCTGCTTCCCCTCTCTCTGCCCCTTCTTACACGCCCCCTCCCTCTCTGACAAATAAAATCTAAATTTATTTTAAAAATAAAAACTAAAAAAAATACGGTTCAGCATTTTAAAATACTGGTCCTACCCCGTGGCCCTCCAAACACGGACCAACGTCTACTCCCACCGGAGTCGGGGAGTGCCTGTCCCCAACAGGATACAGAATCAGTCTTTGTAATCTTTGCCTATCTCCTAAGCAAACACATTGCAACGTCGCTTTCATTTATACTTCGCTGATTATTACTGAAGATATGCTTCTTTTCACTGACTTCTTGGCTGTGTGTTCTTCGGGGTACCAAATAAGGGCACATTTCAGTGTGCACGTGTGTCTCTGCATCAAAACATCTCGGGTTAGGTCTGGAGGACCCGGAGCTGCAGCTCTGAGCTCTGAGAACAACCAGGACCCACAGAGAGATGAAACCAGAAGTCTAAGCCCGTGAACACCTGAGGACTGGACACAAACGTAAATCACACATCTGGTTTTTTTGAGATGGGGGGGGCAGAAGGAGAGGGAGAAGGCTCACACCCGGTGCGGACCCCACATGGAGCTCAGTCACGCGATCCTGAGGTCGTGACCTGAGCCGAGATCAAGAGTCAGACTGAGCCGCCCAGGCGACCCCCACGCAGCTGTCTAATATTTAAGTTTCAGTCAGCGAGACGCCCACCTTACCTGTTAGAAGCACGTACCTTTACGATGACTGCAGCTTCTCTAGGACCCGTCTAAAGAGAGGTTCCTTCCCTCTGACAGGGTCCCTCCCACCTTGCTAAAACTAGAATTTACCACCTCAAGTCCATCAGACCACAGCACCCACAGCACCCACACCACAGCCATGACCCCTCCAGGGGAAACCACACAGGCGGGAAAGGGAGGAAACCCTGGAGGGGAGAAGAGCACCAAATTCTAGATCGAAACTCTGCCCCCAACACAAACAACAAAATCTCTGGCTCCCCGCGAACTCCACGCGTACGAGTAACTCCGGGCAGCAAGCGAAGGGTTAAAGACAGCTACATCAGACACCGAGTTTACAGCCGCTGTAGGGAGCAGTAAGAAACCACCTCTCCGGGGAAAACCGACAGAATCCAGTACCCGTGGTCTACATCGTTCACAGTTTCCGAGATGAACCCAAGAGTATCGGACTTAGGAAGACACAGAACCAGGTGACCCACGTCGATGGACAGGGACTCCCAGGACCAACCTGTTGGAACGAGCGCAGGTTTATGCTCCAAGATGTGAAGGAAAATATGGTCCCAAGGAAGAAACAGGAAATATGTGAGGAGAGATACACACTACAGAAAAGAACCAAAAGGAGAACACGTAAGAGAAAAACACAGTATCGTAACAATGCAGAAAACAGGAAAAAGACGTAGGAGAGGACATCCGTGAAAGTCAGTGCAGAGCCCTTCCCGGAGGATGGGAGCCAGGGAGAGGCCCAGAAGATCACTAGGACTGTCGGTCCTGAGCATGAAGCAGTCATACAAACATACGCACGTGTTTTCTTCCCTTAACCTCCTCCCAGCGCACACCCATCGCGACAAAACCAGAAAGCGGACCCTGACTTGGCAGGCAAAGGAAAGCTCACTGCACAAGGGCACCCCAGCAGGTCAACGTTATCGGAGCCGACCCGGTCACCGGCATGATTCTCAACGTGGCACAGAACCCCTCCAGCAAAATTCAATACGAGAACGAAGCAACCAAATTAAATTTCCGAGTGGCTCGTGCGTTACCCAAGCCAGGAAAGCCGTGTGGATGGTGACTGGTGTGTATTCGCAGCAGCTGAAGTGCGTCCCGAGAGAGTAGATGGAAAACCCCTGGCCCTGCAGAGGACGGTTCTGACACCTAAGCGCACTGGGAGCAGCAGGAAGGCAACCGACGTCGTCCGAAGTGATTTCCCTCGAGCCCCGGCCACTCCGCCGACGTGACTGCTACCACCCGAGGGTGTCTCCGGAGAGTCAGTGCCCCGCACGGAGCCGGGCCCACAGAGAACCACCCGCCACCGGAGGCAAGACTATCCTCAAAACCGAGAAAACACTAACTGGGTAGAGCGCGGATTGGCGTCTGCTCCTACGTGCCGCAGCAAGCTCTCTGCGGAACCACCCGCCGCTCTCGCCAGTGCTGACTCCGACCTGCCGGCAACGCCTACATCCGACTTCGTGTGCTCCCTGCACTTAACCGGCACGGACAGACGCCTGTTTGCCGTCTGTCTGCACGACAAGAACGGCTAACTCTGAACCCCGTGAAGTGAACTGATACCCTTTCTTTCACCTGGAGACCCCCACACAAAACGCTGCACCCAAAGACTGCGGCCACATGTCGGGTTTTGTCTATAAAAAGGCTGTCGAAGTCTGTCTTTCCAGATTTCGACTCTTGACCCACAAAGTCGAAAATATTTACTATCCGGCCCTTGACGGAAGTTTGCAAACCCCTGCACTGGACGATCGTCATCGCCACCGTACACAGGGGAACGAAGGCAGAGGCTCGGCTCGCGGCTGTCTCATGGCGAAGCAGCAGACGTGCAGGCCTTTACCACCGACCGGACGGCGAACATCTGCAGAAGATCCGAGGAGACTGCGGGGGTGGGAACAAAGCGAAACCACAAAAACTGATGCAACAAACAGAAACTACCGAGGGCAACGCCCGTATCGTCACATTCCATCAGCATAACCGGAACGCGCTGTTTTGTGCGGGGAATGACCCGCTACAGACCACGGCCTCACGACCTGGGCTACGTGTCACGGCAAAAAGAAAGCCATCAGGTTGGGGCGCCGGGTGGCTCAGTCGGTGAAGCAGCCTCAGGCCATGACCTCCAGGTCGTGAGTTCAAGCCCTCCGCGGGGCTCCAGCGTGAAGCCTACCTGAAACGAAACGAAGCCAAAAGAACCCAGGGCCATGTCAGACTTCAGGATTAACCATTTCTGGAAAAGATACGAGCCTCAAAAACGTACACACCCGTATCAGGGGTACGAATTCACATCTCGCAACTTCCTAAACGAGACTTCACTGGGAAGAAATTTGGGAACGTCATGAAGTCCGAGGTCCTGAGCAAAAAACCAGCCCGGCTGCAAAATTCCATCCCGTCCCCCTCCAGGCTGGGACGTCCCTTTTCTTTTGCAGGAGAAAAGATGAAGGAAAAAAGCAGAAATGCCTTATATCTCACCAGTTTACTGCAATCCTAGGAAACCCAAAAAGAAATGATGACCTGAAATCCAGGTCATCAGCGATTCTCGACCAGGAGAGCCCGAAGGGTGGCAGGAGTTTGAGGTCGACGTCTCAAAGCACAGAAAACCCTGAACGCGGTCTCTTACGGCAGCAGCACGAGTGCGAGGACCAGGCGCCGGGCTCAGAGCACAACACCACAGACCACGATAAGGAAATGGCAGAGGCTGGACACGTCGAGAAGGCCAAGCCGGGGAAAACGGAGACGCTGGAGAAGAGCCGCCCGGGCAAAGGCCCCCCGGCGGGAGAAGCAGAGTGACCGTCCTAAGCACCCAGGGGACTCCCTGCCTTTGTCACCTGTGAGACCTCCGCCCGGCCATGCCGTGGAGCAAGAACCACCTGCCGGTGGGCACGAGTGACAGGCCGCAGTGTGGACCGGGCACCCAGGGCGACGCGACCGGCCTACGGGTCTCTGAGGACCCCCAGGCAGACTGCCCACCCCTCCAGTGTGCCCTGGGCTACTACAGCAAATTAGGTTATGATTAATGACAATAAAACACACTTCTTGGCAAAAAAAACGAAACACTGAAAAGGCAGCATTAGGCTTTCCATTTTAATTAAACGTTCACATCAGATGGTGATAAAGTAAGTTAACAGTTAAATACTCAGGGACATCGATGTACCATCAACAGAATTTTACTTCGCGACTGTGCCGACAGGGCACACGTCTGAGAAGGGTGATGGCGAGAGGACGTCTGTCGGCTCCGACACGTGCACGCCAGAAGAGCACGCTTCCCTGCGGACACCCGGCTCTGCACACGCGACCCCCGGGCACGGTGAGCTCATCTGCAGACCGACCGCCAGGCGGGCCACATCTGCGGGACCCCCCGCCAGCTCCCCTCGAAGGGTCAGCTTCCCGCCACCCCCACAAAGATGCCTCCAGACAAAGTCCGCACTCCTGGAGGGAAGTGCACCCTGGGGAGCGAGGTCCGCGACAGTGGCGCGGCCGGGCCCTAGTCCCTCCAGCGATGTCCACACTGAGCACTGCAGCACTTGTAGAAGGTGGTCATGGGCTCGTCGGCCGAGCGCGTCTGCAGCTGCATGAAATAGGCTCGAGGATGCTCACATTTAGGACATGGCTCTGGAAACGGGAAGAACGAGTGAGCCACATCATCCAAAACAAAAACAGAAACAAACTGCCCATGGCCAGACATACCTGCTAGAAGAACGTGTCACGGAAAGGCAGCAAGACCCTGCCCCTGCCCGGCCACCTGGCATCCCTTGCCTGGGCACCCTTGTGCCATGACTTCAGGCGACCGCTAGTGGCACCGGTCCCACTATGCTCCCGCAGTGAGGGAACGGAGACCTGCGACCGGGAAGACACGCCAGCTCCCTCCGCGCCCCCTTCTCCTCCTCCCATCTGCTGAAGACGGGCTGCGAACGCCACAAGGAAGGGGACGGTGGCTACCTGTGCATCACGGGTCCACTCCTGCGAGGCTTCCAACAGCCTTTCCATCGCGTGGGCCCTCGCACCTCCCAGAGGAGCCCCCGCCGGCGGTGAACCCACACACCCTCCAGGGCAGGGACCCCTCCTGGCAGCAGCCCTCGGGCTGTTCTCGGGGTGATCTCACCCTCCGCCCCTCCGCCCCGCACCTCTGCCAAGTGCCTCGAGGCAAAGGGACTTCACCCTGAGAAAATGACCTGACTCCATCACACTCTCAAACACCATTTCAAACATTAGGTACGTGAGTCTTTTTTTTTTTTTAAGCATATTCTGCCGATGCCAATTTTACCACATCAGATGTGGACGCTCTTCTACAGGGAAAAGGTGACAGGGAACAGGAGCTGCTCTTGGTCCACCCAGTCCACGACTGTCTGGGCTCCCCCCTTTCCCTCGCTGGTCATGTCTCCCCCTCCACACACAAACAAGACTCGGGATAAACAGCTGAATGCTCTCTGGCATTAACGTGTAAAAATCCACACCAGAACAAGGGACCCCATGTGTTTCCTCGGGCTCTGACTTCCCTTACTCCTGTCACTGCCACTCCCACCACAGCCAGCCCTCTGAGCGCAGGGGGTGCCACCGCTGTCTCCCACACCCAGCGCACACAGAACAGCCCCAGGAAGGGCCGGGGAGGCCACCGAGGTCCTAAAACGTGGGGAGGTCACTTTGAGATCCCGGCCCAGGCCCGTCCAACTCTGGGTGGGGTTGGGCCAATACTGTCGGTCTAACAAGTGCTCAGGAAACTTTCTCGTTAGACGCTCCCCTGTCCTCGGCGTCCCTGACACAGACCCAGGATGGCAGCCCCGTGCCTCACCACTCTCGACTCACCTGCGGTGGAGTCCACGTTCTCCCAGGCCGCTGCCCCACCGAGCACGTCGTCCACCTCTTTTAGCTTCGGGTACTTCCGATTTGTCACCTAACGAAAAGTGGGTCCTCAGGCTCCACGCAATGGAGGAGGACAGACCTGGGCCCCCAAACCATTCCCGTCCTCAAGGGTCTCCCAGACCTGCTTCCTTCAACAGAGACTGGAGGGACACTAAAGCGGTCCCACGTTTCTCCTCTCACAGCACAGAACTCAGCGCTGGCATTTAAAGAATCCAGGTCCGGTGCCGCCCCAAAGAGGATAGTTCAGCAGTGTGGAGCTATTCTTAGAAAAAGTATGGGGGGGATGCCTGGGGGCTCAGTAAGTGTGGGCTCAGGTCAGGATCCTAGGGTCCTGGGATGCGGGCACTAGGCTCCCTGCTGGGCAAGGAGCCTGCTTCTCCCTCCCTCTGCCCCTCCTCCCCACATCCATACTCGCCCTCTCTCTCTCTCTCTGCCTCAAATAAATAAAACCTTTTTAAAACAGGAACAAAGAAAGAAAATGCATTGTAAGCCCTAAGGAGTGACCGTGGAAGCAGCTGGAACAGCAGCAGCGGTCCTGTTCTCAGGCTACTACTGACTGGCAGGGCCCGCTAGAACAGGATCCCGTGATCCCCAGGGGCAGGGCACAGGTTAGGAGCGAGGAAAGACTGTACCCCTCGGCCCCCTCCCTGCAACCTGGCGATGACTGGCAGGAACATCCCACTCCGCCCCTACCCGCGTCTGCCTCCCGGCGAGCCTGCGAGCCTGCGAGCCTGCGCTCAGGACGGTGCAGGCGGTGCAGGCCGGCTTTGCCGCGTTAAAGCACCTGCCACCCCTCCGCAGTCCTTCCCCTCGCTCTGAGGCACGCGTCCCTGCTTCTCCGATAAAGTAAGATGACAGCTCCGTGCGGAACCCAGCTGCGCTGCCCGCCCTCGCAGAGGGAGCCCTGCGTGGCCGCTCGGATCGGCGTCTGAGGACTTTGTTTCGGCGCAGTGACCACACGGGGGTGAGAGCATCGCTCCGAGCACTGGAGGACGCACCAGCGCGGCAAGGAAAGCCGGTAGGTGGGACCCTCCCCTCCTCTGCACTGCCCGCGGAGCGCAGCCCCAGGCCTTGCCCAGCAGACCACACCTGGCCTGCTCCCCGGGTTCGCCAAGTGCCCCCGGAACGTCAGGGCTCCCTGGGCGTCCGCTCCCCCCGCAGCCGGCGACCGCGGCAGCCCGGCGCAGCCCCGCGCACACGGGGACAAGTTTCCCACTCGCGCAACGCCGAAGCGCGCTCACGATGGAGACAGACGGGAAACGAGGCACGACACCGCGCGCGTCTTTCACGTCCCGCGCACGCGCTACTTCGAGGTTCGGCATCGACCCTAAGCGGCACCGAAACGGAGAAAAAGCCTCCGCCCTCCAACGCCTTAGGCCGCGGGACTCAGGAAGTAGGGGTCCCACAGGAACACAGGGAAGACGCTGAAACGCTTTAAACGGAGCAACCATTTGAAACAGGACCTCCGAGGGGCACGGCGCCCCCGGAAAAGCAGACCGAGCAGAAAGCACGTGCAAAGGCCCGGCCGCAGCTGCGTGCGCGACGGGGGCTCCTCGCAGGACGCCTCGTGTCGGGGACAGCGTGTGCATGAGGCCGGGCATGGGCGCGCGCCGTCGTGGGGCCGGGCTGGGGTACTGGGGTCCGCGCTGGGAAGGGGGGATGTTTCGGGGCGGGGCCGGGCGCGCGCGTGGGGGCCGCGAGCCCGGGGGAGAGGAAGGGGGAGGCAG